TGAGGACGACGTTTCGCCAGTAATTACAACTAGCTTCATCAGGCGACAGCCAGATTTGTGGAGAAGTCCACCTGTTTTCGTTCCTTGTATAGAGGTAACCACACTTCTGTGCTCTTGAGCCACGTGGGAGGAGGGGGGGGGTTACTGAGGGAACGTACATTATGTATTATGCGAGCCCTTTGAAGGGAGTTCATATCTCGCCACACACATACACGGCTATGCAAACGCAGCAACCATGATCAATTCACTGATACAAGAACACCAACGACGCACGAGTTGATTTGCTAAATGCATTCACGGGTATGTCATCAACACCTTTAAAATGGCCATGTGGTATATACCGCAGTAATAATGGGTTTTTTTCCCCCCCAATAACTGTAAAACATGAATCATCACCGATTTATCTGTAAGTTCTATCACAAATAAAAGTTGGAATTTTTGTAATAATATATTTAACTTACAGTGCATAGTCCAACAACTCTCAGCCACCGTTCTGTTTCTGCTTTAGATCAATGAGAAGATGAAGAAACGGATTTTTTTCCCCCCTCGGTGAATTTAAAAATACCCGTAACAGGCATAACCTCGACAAAAACATTTATTAAAAAAAAATTTCACTTGACGATTTTAATGTACATGTTACTCATGGCAGGAAAAAACCCCCTACTTTTTTGTACTTATATAAAACTTATAAAATACGAATAACTTTTACGTAATTTCCTTGTACAACACAGAGAGGTGACTTGTGCTCAAGCTTCACAACCGTGAAACTCTGCCCGATGGCGTCAAACGTTTTGCCCACAGAGGCTACTTTTACATCAAGGCTAAAGGCCTATTTTTGTAATGTAAGCCTTCTGATTTCATGTTGGCATCTCATGATTATTTTACTCTTTGACTTTTTTTTTCCTTCTCTTTGCTTGTTTTTTTAATTATTACTTTATGAGTGTTTTACTACTTTTGTCTTTGTAAATGTTTTTCTTGATCCTAACTTGTGTCAAGTGCCTCCAACCCTGTGGTATGAAAGGCCCTCTATAAATGCAGATTATTCTTATTATACAGCCATATGCTGGGGTTGTGTATTGTAACGTTCATTCATAACTGTAATTGTCCACCTAGTTATCTTTTTTAAGCTCTCTGACCTCATTAAATACATTTTATTACAGAGTAAATTACATGTGAAAGCTTCACTGAGTATAAAGACTCTTTTTATCTGGAAGGTCCTACATTCACATTTTTGTCGAATTCCTTTTTGAAGGGATGGGTGGGGGTTTATAACATTTTGGTGGAAAAAAACTGTACACCCGAAAAAAAATCATCCATTAATGAGGTAAGAACACTTAAAGTTCAGTGCAGATGGGCTCATTGAGCAGCTGGTTGTACTGCCATACCCTGGCCACCTAGTTGTCCAGAAGGGTTGGTAGCTTTACACAATCCGGATGCGATTCACCAACCCTTGCGGCGTCCAGAGCTCTGGATTAGTTACGTTCCACGGCTTCACAACTAGAAATGCCATTAAAACCTCTATACACACAGAAACAACATACACATTTACATAAGATTTCTCTACAAGGACAAATTGGTTTAACCTCAACTCCGAGACCTTTACAAATTACAGTGAATAGCTCTCCGAGTTCCTGAAGAAGCTCCCAACACGCCAGGCGGAATGTTGAGTATCACGATGTATGTACGGTGAACCGTATGTAGCCAACCGTGCTAATCGGAGGTGCGGGGAAAGAACACAATTAACTACACTCAGTAGAACCCGAAAATACATTGGGAAGCTGTACTGCACAACTGCGAAAAAGCCTCTGCAATAAATTACCATGACTCTTATCTGGTTTAGCAGCCCAACACTTATAGAATGCCTCAAAATTATTGTTAAATCCTGAACATAAACTATGACTACATCTGGCATTATTAGTTTTAACCCTGATGTCACATACACGTGGAACAATTTACATAACTGATTTACAACATACACAAGTCATCCTTCACGATCAGTTTTAAATGGACTATTGGACTCGATCATTGGACCATATGAATGCGAGTGTGTGGAGTTATATAGTACTGCATTTTTAAATATCTAAGTTTTATTTTATATCGCATTTACATTTAACAATTTACGTAAACCTTCACATGCATCAAGTCCAGTGTTGTGGACTGCTATGATAATATTTGTGATTGCTTTGAAGTTGTACGAGACATTTGGAAACATTTGGAGGGTTACTTCAATTATCAAACCACATTAAACCATTGTTTTGTGGTTTTCATTTTCGGAATTGACACATGAGAGGGTTAAACTGTTTAACACGTAGGCTTTCGCGACCAATATCATCCATAAGAGGTTTTTTTGGGTTAGATTGCATCAATGTGTCGTTAAAACCTGCCACCACCCGACACAGCCGACTAGTAAGGGTTGTCACGTAAACAGAACATGCCAAATCGTCACTAGTACAGCACATCGGTGTGTTTGAGAGCCAAGCTACAACATTTATAATTCAATTACGACGTTTCGCCAGTAATTACAACTAACTTCATCAGGCGACAACAAGATTCGTGGAGAAGTCTAACTGTTTCGTTCCTTATATAGAGGCGTAGATGTGGTGTAACCACGCTTCTGCGCTCTTGCACAAAGTGGGGAGGGGGATTACTGAGTCAACGTACATTATGCATGTGCATTATGCGAGCCCTTTGATCTCGCCCTTCCTGTCTATTGTGTTTATTAAAATAGCCGTACCAACGGTAATCCCTATTGAAATATGGTGCCCTTCATAGGCATGCATATAAATAATGTATTATTTGATGATTCGCTTCCACGCAGCACTAAGTCAGTAGCTATCCGAACGGTAAAACAAAACATCCATTTCGATAGATCATCTAATTAGTCTTGGCCAGTAGTAGCTAGGGAGAGAACTTTACTATTATCGAAATCAATTGAGTGTCTTATTGGCACGCGTGTTCTGCTACTGCTGACAGTTATATTTGGGAGTATTTAATATTTCTCTGATGCTATTTTAGTCTCGTGCTGATCATTCGTCCTGTTTGCCCAACATTACATTTTCCACACGTGCAGTTAATCCTGTACACACCTTCTGTTGATACCTTCGGTAATACATCTTTTGTACCAGATATTAAATTCTGTAATTGTTGGTATTCTGTTGGTATTCCTGTAATTGACTTTATCATTTACTCTATTTATGATCCGGTACTTTGTAACCCAGATCATCTATCTTTTAACAAGACATCGCTTTGTCTCAATGTGCTTCCACCAAGGTTAAAATAAAGATCGTCTAACAACAATAACAATTCACCACCAGCAAAAGATACATTTTACACCAGTTATTGGGTTTCTTAATATGCATTCATATGTTTGAATAAATGTACAATCCTTTCTCGATCCACTGCTAGATCTGGATGAAAGTCTCCCTACGCCATGGGGTTTGTTTGGACATAATTCACCGCACTGCTCATGCTCAGTGCGGGTTGGTGAAGTTGGATAAACCCAGGACTTCTATATTGCTAACGACTGGTGTTAGCCGTGGTTGGGAATCAAATTCGCATCGCTGGGTTCATGGCGCAATGCACTGACCACGTCACCTCTGATTCAGCCTCTATTATTAAAATGAAGTTGTGCTCATTCGACCAAGAATAGTTTGCAACATCCAGTGGATGCAAAAATAACCATATAATTACACCTAACAAAATGCAAATGTATATCCTTCACAATTCTAAAATACAGGGTTTTCAAAATACCGGGCTAATTCAAAGGTGTAGCCATTTCCCTAATAAAACCACATGTATTTCCATGAAGACCAATTTAACCCAGTTGCAGCATGTCAAGTTATTTGTATTGCTTGTATTCTTTCAAAGATACATACAAAAACAAATTTAAAGAAACGTACACATTTTAACACCGAGAACACAACAACAGTTCAGATTCCACAATAAGCTGCCGTGTATAGAGAATGTTATAAAGTTGGACTGCCCGGCAAAGTGTCATTCTTGAGGCGGCGGGGAGACGCGGCTTCGTGAGTCACAGAAAAACTCAATACATTCGTCAGAAACACTCTGCCTTGAAGGGAAGTTATATAACATGCGACATTTCGGGAAACTAAACCTTTTACGCAGCAACGCGCACCACTACCAAATCAGTGTCACCAGATCATTAGTTTTACAACGAAGGCAAGCATCGCTCTCCGCGTTGTTTCACGTTTTGGCACTTTCGTGCGTGCGACTTTCACGTATTCTTCCATTATTATGGATCACCCCCCTCAAAAAACCCCGTTACGGTATATGAGGTGCACGGCATATCCGCCCACGTTATTTCCACAATGAACCGTTTGTAAAATCGAAAGCACAATTATACAGGTCCTTACAAATATAGTAATACACATACCCTTCTAGCTATAAAGTCGCACGAGACATTTGCCTTTCAACCAAAACAAATCGAGTTCCGTCCACTTAGGTATTCCTAGGAACAAGAAAAAATAATTTACACCATTGGAACCTCATTTGCCAGTAAAAAATATGATAATTGTTTTTTTTAGTGCGCCTTTTGGCGTCATCTGGTCCAACACCATGTGAGACTAGGCTCTAGGGAAAGCTGTCTCGGGTGTGGACCAATCAACTTCAAGGACAGTGCACATTATCAGAGTTATGTTTTTTGTTTGCATTATGACTGCAGGTATTGTGGTCTATGCAAACACGACTCCTTGTAAAAAAAGGTGTCAGTTTTGTTGCCAGATAGAAGGGTAAAAAAACAATTATCAAGAAACAAGAACATCAGCAGAACTGTACTATCGGCAAATACAAAGAAACTAAGTCCCACCTGACTTATGTGTGGGATCTCCCAGATCAATACAGTTACCATCCAGAAGCATTTGTATTGCAAGCGTTCCATTAACCCCATCGCGACCACCGAGTTGTGCGCATTTTCAGATTTGTTTTTTAAACATCCCGGAGCGCAACGCTGACACGTTCACGGCCACCTTTGTGTCTCTCACCTGGCCCAAGTAAGTGAGTCCGTGTCGCTCAGCCAACTCCACGGCTGCCTTGGGGCCACCGCGCACCTGTGCAGCCCAGGTGTTGGTGAACTCAGCTGGGCCCGCTGCAGCATCCCGTCCCGTGGCGCAGAACAGCAGCAACAGCAGCAGCAGCATCAACGACATATCCCTGAGAACCATCGGAATTCCGGTTCGATACCAAGCCCAGGTTACGCCACCCCAGCGCGCTTGTTGCCGTCGTTAGTCGGATTGCCGCAACTGCTCTCGCTGATCTCAGGTGTACAACAACAAAACAACGAAGGCTTTGGTTGCCGTGGATGCGTCTTCTCTTGTGTTGTCTCTTGTTCTCGCCTCCCCCCCACCTGTAACTTCTCACCGCCCCGTCTAACACGCTGCAAACTTCTGCTTCCGAGTGACCTGCGGCGGCGGCGGCGACGACGGGGACATCTTCGTAGCTGTTGCGGACAGCGTCGGAGCCACGGGTTTACAACAAGACACACAGAACAACTAGCCGGGCGCTCCTTGCCAAGCGAGCAAAGTTTGGTCTCTAGCTCAGCGAGCGGAGCGAGTGGGTGAATGTTGCGAGGTGTGGAGGCGGTGGGAGGCGCGTGTAGGGGAGGGGATGAATGCAGGGAGGGTCGGATGGAGGGGAGGGGAGGGACGGATGAGTCCGAGAGGAAGTTATACCGTACAAATATTTGCCTCTGTCTCTGTCCGTCTGTCTCTATCTATCTCCGTTCGTATCTTGCGCGATACGAACTTTCACATGAGTGCATTCCCTCGTACAGTCATGTGTTGGGGTTTTTTTCCCCTCTCCTTCCCACCACCAAAAGGACATGCCATTCATCCAGGGAAACACACAGCGGCCAGCCTCGGAGTGGACACGCAGATGGAATTTGAGACGGAATTGGAGACTGCTCTTGCCTATTTGCGTAGAGCCGTGGACGAAGGTGTGGGGGTTGGTTTGGGACCCAGGTCTCCGTGTATGACTGTATACGTCTGTTACGGCTGTGCGCGGGTGGTCTTTGTCTAGGTTGCATACCTGTCAACCCCTTATCAGTTGCCCTACCTTATTACAGACCAATTCAGACCTTATTGCTCACCCCGTGCCCCTTATACATCTCAACGTCCATCCTACAAAGGGGCCGTCCATAAATGACGTCACGCACCTGGGGGAGGGGGGGTCAGGCATTTGTGACGATGTGTGATGATGGGGGGGGGGGGGGGGGGTGAGACATGTGACGTCACATGAAAATGTTCAACTTTAAATAACTATAGACAACACGTTCTATTTAATTATATAGACTTTTTAAAGAATGTTTTCTCCTACAACATCAGAGTGCAGCGCCACATTAAATACAATGACAATAGTTTAAAGCGATTTGAAGCATGTTTTATCTTTTTTGGGGGGGGGGGGCAGAGCTTTGTGACGTCATATTTGAGGGGGGGGTCTGACTTTTTGTGACGCCGTGTGACGAAGCGGGGCTGGGGGTCCAAAATCGTCCAAAATCGCGTGACGTCATTTATGGACGACCCCAAAGTCCCATCACAAGGGAGAAACACAAACAAGTAGACAAACATTTTTTTACCCGTATTGAAACGGCTGTACCCCCTATGAACCTGAAAACTCAATTCCCCTGTGCAAGAATACGTGCAGCACTGGGCAGCGGTATCGTCGTGGTGAGCTCACGCGTGCTATGAGCACAGCAATCTGTGTTTGATTCCCGGTCATGGGTTTTTTGTGTAGAGTTTGTTGTTGGCTACGTACGGTGCGAGAGAGGTTCAACATACATACGAGCAACATCGATGGCGAGTGATATTTGAATCCGCACTAAATTGCACCCCCCCCCCGCCCACTAGGTCGACTCAACATTAAATGAGTGGCTGTTACGGTGTGCGAAATGCGAAACGCTTGGGTGGGTGGCTTGCAGGAGGACACATCACCCCCCCCCAAACCCCACGTGTGCCGTCCGGTCTACGTGTGGGCTGTCGGAGAGGTGTTTGTCTCGACAGCATTGCGAAGTGACCACTCTTTGTGGCAGATTGTGGACGTGAGTCCCGCGTTCGCGTCACGAGACCCCCTCCCCCCCAAAAGCCACCGAGCAAATCCCCACATTGTAGACGCGAAGCAAGCAGGCTCAGCTCGCAAAACCACCGCACCACGACGTGCATTGTTAGAGAATTGTTGCGCTGTAGCAGCAGCAGCAAGTTTCATAATCCGCGTTCCTTTGTCAACCCACGGCTGGGTGAAGCCTCCTCCGTCACGCTGCGTCGATCGCAAGACGCCGTTTGACCATACCTCACCGCGCTGGTCATCACGAGTAAATGGTGAAGTTTGGGGTTTGGTGCCCTGGACCGGTTCAGATTATCACTCGCCACTGATGTTAGATGTGGTCGGAAATTGAACTAAGGCGGCCAGCTTCACAGCCCGGTGCAAGTTACTATTAGTTTAGCTACTGTTTGACCTCAAATGTCGGCGTACAAGTACAAGGGAGTTTATCATCTTGTGCCAGACAATAACGGAGTTGGCAAACTAGGATTGGAACGTTGAAATCAGCGCCTGTGCAGGTGCCAGGTGGATTATTAACCTCGCAAGGATCGAGAGAGGCCTTCATCCAACATTAGATTGATAATGATGATAATCTATTGAGAATTGTATATTTTTCAAGGGAAATTTACTTGCTGGGTTTTAAAGTGAGAACTGAGAATGAAACCCAGGGTAGACCATGGACTTTGGTGTGGATAGTATTACGAGGAGGGTCAGTGATAGGGTGAGATATATGAATAGGGTTAGTGTAATGAATAAGAGTTGGGGATATTAATAGGACCTGTGATACGATAGTGTTCGTATCAAAAATCATGGTTTGATTGAGCTTTGGGGAGGATCGGATTTTGTTGTTGTACCGTTCTGACCCATCCCGACTGGAACATCTGTGAAAAATAGCTTTATAGCTCCACGGATTCCTTCAGTATAAATAAATATTTTGATTCTGGATTGTCCTGATGAAGATCACTTGTGTTGTGATCGAAACGTCGTTGTTTTTTGTTATTTTTTGTTATTTTTGTTATTTTCTTTCAACCTATCTACGTGACTTTACCGAAAGACCCAAAGAATACAATCTAAATGCATGTTTCTAAATGTGGAGGGAAAAACCGAAGGACCTGGAGAAAGAAATCCACGTGGCCACGGGAAGAACATGCAAACTCCAAATATCCAGGTGTCAGAGTTGAGATTGTATGCATTGTAAGGCCAACCCCAAATGTGAAAGTGCACAACCCATTTGTATAGGGTTCTGCAGATTATACAGACGGCGATCCATTGGTAGATACCCCACGGATGTATCATGACCCTCGTACTTCTCAATAGGGGATTGAATATAATAATGACAACTTGTAACGCGCGGTATTCACTCACTCGAAGAGAGAACGACTCAAAGGCGCGAGCAACCACAGACCATGAACCGGTGCTACGCTCTCTCCCACCTGCTCTGCAGTCCTCTACATATCAAGGTGTTATCGGCAAAATGAACGAGTGTTCACACGTCGGAGGAAACCGCAGCGCTCGGTGAGAGCCCATGCGTGGTAAGGGGGCAACACTCTTTCCTGTACAGGTGGAACAGATGGAGTCCACCACATTCGCTCTACCGCCGTCTCCTGGTGAGCCAAGGTATGGGAATCTCGACGCCGACGTGAAGGGGAATTCGCAGCTTCGGTGCGATTCACCAACCCTCGCTGCCTGCACGGTGCTGGATTACAGGTCACGTGAACAAGCCAGGCAGCGGTGGCGATAAGACATCTAGTATTGGGAAAGCGATGGATCTAAGTATATGAAGAGGAAAGAGTTAGAATAGTACTCTTAGTTCTTTCGGTAAAGTCACGTAGGTAAAAAATGAAATTAAAATTAATACAAATAAAACAATACAAATCACGACGTTTCGGAGGCAACACAAGTCTCCGTCATCAGGTGGGACTTACATCTTGAATCCCTTCCTCACTTGATCCAGCAAATCTGGCTGTGACGGTCCCACCTGATGACGGAGACTTGTGTTGCCTCCGAAACGTCGTGATTTTTATTGTTTTATTTTCATTAATTTTTATTTCATTTTTTACCTACGTGACTTTACCGAAAAACTAAGAGTATGAATCCTTGCAGTCACGAAAGCTTCAAATCTAGAGTTAGAATAGTATTAGGTGCGTTGATATTATTGGGAGACATGTGGAGGCTTTGATATCCAATGTCGTCTTCTGCATTATTCTCGTTATTTCTAGTGGGGTATCTATAAACGGATCGTGTATTTTTTTGAAGTCAGATTTTTTTCACGACAGCGCCCTCTTGCTGCCCAAGTCTTCGTTGACCCTTGAAGATTTTGGATTAACGTTCGGTTCAATTTAGTTCCAGCGTTTATCACATCGCACGAGTGTGAAGTATGGTGAAATATGGTGAAACAAAGTCAGAGATCCCCCGTATAGCCTTAACAGACTCTAGGAGCAATTGCTCCCCTCGATGACCTGCATGCCAGTAGTGGATTGACAACAGGGATGAAAATGAATGATCGATCATTTCGAATTCAGTTAAAATAGCAAAATCGTAAGGAATGGATGCATAAGTAGACTAAAGAATAAATATTTTCTTTCCTGACTTAAAGCTTTCGTGACTGCAGGGATTCATACCATTTGGGTCTGTCGGTAAAGTCACGTAGATAGAAAAATAATAAAATAATAAATTATTATTATAAAATAATAAATTAAAAATTTTCTATCTGACTTTACCGACAGACCCAAAGGGTATTTTCTTTCCTAATTACATAATTCAGATTTTTTTTTCATTTATTTTGTTCATGAGTTATTTAAAAACAAAAACTTTCAAGCAAGTGTAGCGCTATGCATAAACGTGTGTGGGCTTGTGCAGGACATGTCGCTAGAATGGATCGAGTACAAGTGTATTTAGTTTAACCAGGTGGTGAGAACTCCAAAGCCCATGATGAGTCTCATTTGCAAGAGTGACTTGGGTCACCCAAAGCGACAAACCACAAATATAAAGTGCAGCACAGCAATGAAGCAAATGGAAATCGGCGCAAAAGCAAGTGTGCCAAATGACAAAGATAAAACATTGTAGGAACATATTCTTAGGTTTTTTTTTACCGAAAAAACCTAAGAATATGAATCCTTGCAGTCACGAAAGCTTCAAATCTAGAATTGTAGGAACATTAATCGAGGTTCAATAATAAATTCCCCATAGCGCAAGTCGGCTCGGGCAGATTATTTTGATGGGCAAGAATAGTAAGGGAGTGGCAACCAAGCAATGGAATGTGTCCAGGATCAGAATATGTATTTATACTGGAGGAATCCGATGAGCTATAAGTTATTTTTGCACAAATGTCAGAGGTTCATCGACAGGCGGGGACGGAGCGATTAAAATCAGTTCCATGTCCAGGCGCTGGGTGGAATTATAATTGGCGAATTGGGGAAGTTTAAATAGTTGTTTACATAATTGTAATTTGTTAATACATTGCTACGAACAACTGCACTTGTATTTACTAGCACAAAATTCGTTTTTCCGTTTTTCTATTCATTAAACCCTGTTTTCTGAAAATGAGACCACTCTTGGAAATTACACTTCTCCATTTGTTTTGTTTAAAAAAAACAGAACTTATTGGAGATATATTTGCCGTTGGGATGAACGTAACATTTCGAGGGCTTAATTCTCTCATTGAGTATTTTGCGGGCAGGGGGACATCCAGTGTATGTTCCGGAGCTCAGCACCGACAAGCTCTGGATTTTAAAAGGAAACAAATATATAACTTTCGATTTAAAGGTTTCGTGACTGCAGGGATTCATCTTCTTGGTTCTTTCGGTAAAGTCACGTAGAATGGAAATAATAAAATAATGAAAATAAATTATATATTACTTTATTGTTTTATTTTTATTTTATTATTTCCATTCTACGTGACTTTACCGGAAGAACCAAGAAGAAAAATATATAACGTCCATAATTCAGGTTTTTCTGGGTTAGATCACGTAAATGTGTCGTTAAACCCGCCACCACCCGACACAACCAATCAGTAAGATCTGTCACAAAAACAGAGCATGCCAATTCGTCACACACAGCACAACACACCGTCTGCGTGTTGGAGAGCCAAGCCACATTTACAATCGGAGTACGACGTTTCGCCAGTAATTACAATCTGGCTGTCGCCTGATGAAGCTCGTTATAATTACTGGCGAAACGTCGTACTCCGATTGTATATGTTGTGGCTTGGCTCTCCAACACACAGACGGTGTTGCTGTACTGGTGACGAATTGGCACGTTCTGTTTACGTGACCTTACTAATTTGGCCGTGTCGGGTGGTGGCGGGTTTAACGACACATTTATATATTTACGCGATCTAACCCAACACAAAAAAAACCTGTATTATGAATGATATTGGTCACGAAAGCCTTACTACGTGTTAAACAAATTATATAACGTGCGACGTTTCATGCAACGACCCTTCCTTCCGATCGCGTGCTGGAAGCATTCCGTTTGCACGCGATCACTGAACGCACGTGTCCCCCTTAGGAATCGATGCAGTCACGAATCGAATCGTTTGTAATCGTTACTCGCGAATCGATTATATCCCGCCAACAAACGGAATCGCCTGAACGGCGGCCTCCGAGCGGAACCGGAAGGGCTGCCGTGACGTCAGCGGAAGTTATCGCAGGCAGAGCGCCACGTGTTTGTTGTTGTTGCTGCTGCGGCTGCGGCTCCACGTGGCGCCGGGAGGCGTCAGTGGCACCCCGGGGCTGCTCGTTTCCTCCTCCTCCTCCCTCCGTCTTAATCATTGAAGCGAGGGTCTTGGCTTTGTCATCCCCAACAACTCACCCTTAACTCTGTGCTTAACACGAACCCCCAGCACGAACGGCTCATACTTAACGCTCGCCTGCAAGCTATCCTATACGCTAACAGTAACACAACCTTAGCCTTAAACTTACTCTCATAGTCCTAACACTAACCTCTGCACGCTAGCCTTGGCCATAAACCTACCCTAACCCTGGTCCTTAGCTAGCCATAAGACCACTGACTCTTACCCCATCTCCAACCCTGGCAGTCAATTGATCGACTTCTCGACCCGGCCCTCAGGCGACTGGGGTTCAGGCACAACAGACGGTATGAGTATACGTGCCCTCGCTGTGCATACCGCCGGCTGTACCTACCATGCTGTATACTATACGCAGCCCGCTGTACACTTAGTGATTGACGTTGCATTGCCTGCTGTTTAAATACAACACGATGTATCTGCACAGTCTGATGTGTGCCAATAGCGTTCTGTATGCATCGACCACAAGCTCTGTAGAAATAGCTTGTATTATACAGGATCTAATGTATACACTCAGTCTTCTGTACAAACGTGGGATTTCGTATATTGCATAGTATTATGTAGTTATATATTTTACTTAACAGCCTGTTAATGCGACACGTGCAACGCAGTGAATTGTATTTATTACAATTACGAAATGTAATTTGCAGCGCATGCTTGCAGTCCGCGAAGCATTGAAGTTTATTTTATTTAACCAGGTTAAAACTCAAGAGACCAGAGTAGTCGCATTTGTAAGTGACCTGGAGGCATTAGTCTTCCAGTCGGGGGCGATTGTTATGTATAGTCCCAATTCAATAATTTGCCGTTAATTTTCGAATTTGGCAAATTTGGACCATGTCGCCGGCAAACAATGGCCCACTCTTGGGAATGACGTCAGGTGATCTTTAACCTCCACTGTGAAGCAGACGGCACGTAGTAGATAATTATTACACGCGCAGAAATCGTGCAGGAGACGTGGATGTGTAACCCACGTGTTCTTTGATTCCTTGCAGATGGGAGATTGGGCTCCCATGTCATCCAAGCACGCGTTGGTGTTGTCGCTGGCTTTCCTGCCCCTACTAGTGGGACAACATTCAAGCTGTGCACAGGATCATCACGACCCACAGGACCATCACAAGAACCCACAAGATCCTCACCACAACCCACAACATCCTCACCACCACTACGACTCGCAGGACGCGCACGCATTCGAGCCCAACTCTGCGCTCTCCTCACTTCATCTCGACGGCTCCGTGCAGGTACGGCTACGACACAGCCTCTTTCTAAACCTCCAAAAGCCCCCTAAAACAGTAGTGAACACGCACTTCCTTATATTTGAAACCATTGGCAGGTATCTCTTCCTATTACACGTTTGAGTTTTTCAACTTCCTGTTTTTAAATTGGTCAAATCTCAATTGTGAACGCTGCACAACTTCAATCTTCTAATAACTCAGCCAAATACATCTGAATTGTTGTGCGGGCACGACCAACAGCGTTTGCGCTGCCTTTGCACCAGGTGGTCGGCACGTACCATGGCCCGGGGAACACCGATAGACGTAAGAACACGGAGATACCATTGCTGCTCTGGTGGCACGATGCCATCTTCCCGCACTTTCCCGGGGACAGCGAGCGCATCGACTGCCCGCTCGGCTCCTGCATGGTCACCAAGAACAAGAAGGTGCAGCTGTACAAGTAAGGCTCTTCTACACACATTGCGTGCTTAAGGCGAACTCAAAACAAATCTCGTCTGTCCATTTTAACCAACAAAGCTATTCAACTCGCATGATCCAATGGCATGTAGTAATGTCGGTGATACTTCTGCCTGTCTTGTGAGCCCATGAATATTTTGAACCGATTTGCCTTTTGTTTTATCTGAAAAAATAACATGAATTATAGCTAATTTGTCATTGAACCACGATCCTTAATTGTGACGTTATTTGCTTTGTTAGAGGTGTGATGGGGCGTCAGGCAGGGGAGGTGGGCTGGTGCGGGGACAGTGGTGGTGAACTTGATTAATTGTGCAACTCCTCTCAGGCCCACAAGCCAGAAGAGCCAATATGCCGGACTATCTCTCATTCTTTGCATCTGGGCCCATATCCATCGTGCTGCGTCACCGACACTTGCACCTCCATCTCACGCATTCACTTGTGTGCAGGCGCACCAAGGCCATCCTCTTCTATGGTACGGACTTCCGCGCCTACGAGGCGCCGCTGCCGCGCCTACCCCACCAGACGTGGGCGCTCTTTCACGAGGAGTCGCCGATGAACAACTACCTCCTGTCGCACCTGCCCGCGATGCGCCTCTTTAACTATACGGCCACGTTCCGCCGCAACTCCGACTACCCGCTGTCCACGCAGTGGCTGCCCAGCCTGGCCTACCTGCGCCGGCCCGCCGTACCGCTAGCAGAGAAGAACAGGCTGCGGCGCGAGGAGGGCCGCGCCGCCGTGCTCTATCTACAGTCGCACTGCGAAGTGGCGTCGGACCGCGACCGCTACGTCGGCGAGCTCATGAAACACATCCAGGTGCGGCCCCCGGCAAAATACGGTAACCGCCGACAACCACACCGGCTGCGTTGCGGGTCACATTTGTCTTTTTTTAATTATTACTAGTTTGCCGTGGTTTTAAGATAGCAGTGCGCTTGGATGACTACTGCTATAATTGGTGTTGCAATGCAAGTCTGTAATGGATGGTGATGGCTTTGGGAGGTCTTCCAGCAGTGAGTTGACAAAGGGCTGTGCATTGCTACGTTGCACGTAATCAGTGCAGGTGACGTGCAAGCAGTAGAAACGCTCCACAAGGTTTAAAAAAAGAAATGCATCGTCACCTTGATTTGTGAAAATTCATCAAATTGCTTGGGGAAAATATCATGACATGCATACCCAGGGCTGTCGAGCACCAGCCATGATAGGCGCTAGCGACGCTTGCACCAACAAGCAGTGCAAGGATAACCAGGAGTTTTGTCTTTGGTCTTGTATAATACCTCGTGCTCATTACCGACGTTTGCGGCCACTGCCACCCTCCTCCGTCCACCGCCAGATCGACTCGTACGGAAAGTGCCTGAACAACCGCGAGCTGCCGAGCGAGCGACTTTCCGACACGCAGACGGCCATCACAGAGGACAAGGAATGCCTGGCACTGCTCGCCGGATACAAGTTCCACCTGGCGTTTGAGAACGCGCTGTGCGGCGACTACATGACGGAGAAGCTGTGGCGGCCGCTGCACCTGGGCAGTGTCCCCGTGTACTGGGGCGCGGGAGACGCCGGCGACTGGCTGCCCGCGTCGCCCTCCGCCGTGCTGGTGGACGACTTCGCGACCCCGCACGACCTCGCCCAGTTCCTGCTGAGGCTGGACGCAAACGACACGGAGTACCTCGAGTATCTGAAGTTCAAGGTGGGGAGGGAGGAAGGGTGTTTTCTGTTGTAACTTTATATTATTCCAAGTTCTGTTGTAACTTATCTGTTCGTGCCATGCAATTTGAACTCACAAGTTTCCGATTGTGAGTCATATTTTCTAAACTCTGCACCAGCTGACTGGAGAGTCTTTTGAAATGCGTATAAAACGTGGTCCTATGATTTTTTTTTCCCCTCAAGTATTTAGGTCATCGCAGATGGACAATTAAGATTCATAGGGTATCCAATTAAATTGAATCTCAAAGTACGATTCAAATGATAAGAACACGTGAATTGAGCCAATGAAGAATGCAAACTTTCAATTTTTGATTTAACCTGCGAAATGTTGTTGTGGGTTTACTCTCCAACACACCAGTGTGTTGGAGTAACTAATGGACACGTTTTGTTTACGTGACAAACCTCACCAATTGGCTGTCGGGTAGTGGCAGGTTTCACGACACTTATATTTATGCGATCTAACCAACACTTTTTCTATGATGGCATGGTGGAGGTGTGAATGAAGGAATTTAATACTGGTAGGAACGAAGTCAACCAGCCTACAATAGATTATATCGTCCGTTCGTCCGATGTCCGATTAGGTGTAGCAACATCGCCCCCTACTGCAAACACTTGGCAGGACCCTACAAAAACCTTTAGACTCAGTGAGGCTTTCCTGGCTAAACAAGTGTAACATTCCCTTATAATTCCCTGAGATAGTTTTTAATTAAAACATTGAAATTAAAAATTAACTCACAGCGGCCTAAAGCCTACAGCTAGGCCTAAAGCCTAGAACTAGGCCTCAAACTCTCCCTTCGTATCGTACCCTCGCCATTTCATTTTATTATAGCCATTCATTTGTTCGTTCCTATCAGCCCACCCCGCAGGGACCTGTTATAGAAAGGCATTCGATTGTCATTTCTTGCCAGTGTCCAGCATGCGTTCTGATGTCTCCTTGGTGGTACATGCAATCATCCCTTCATGCGTGTGTGCTCGTTGTATAAGTGATACAGTGGATAGTTATATTGGTAGGAACCTCCTGGTTACACCAGCCCACAGGGAATTATTGTGTCCGTCGTGCAGGGAGGGGCTTGGTGAGGAGGGAGGGGCTGGGTGGGGAGGGGAGGGGCTGGGTGGGGATGGTGGGGAGGGTGGGGAGGGGCTGGGTGGGGAGGGTGGGGCTGGGTGGGGAGGGGCAGGTCACCCCATGGTGCCCTGATAAAACTTAACGTTTAACCTACTCACGCCGGCTTGTGCCCGCCCTCACAGTCGGGCATATTTGCGGAATACACCACGCTGCCGTTGACCCTGGCCATTGACCGAGCAACCCAACGTTCCTACCAGCTCCCTCCGCAGGAATGTGTTTTACCATGCTTGTGCTCCTTTGCTAATGCACTGGCGTTTGTTCGTGACCACGCTGCACATCAGTGGCGTTTGGTGTCTCAGCTCGGGTTTAATCTTCACTTAAGTCATTCTAGGGTAAAACGAGTACCTGTTGCTCCTGCGGTGCTTTGATGCCATCCAATGTGGCTCACTGGCAGCCGTCCCTAATTGGCACTCACTCTGCACCTGATGCAACAACGGCATGGCCGGGGCTACACGGAGACCGACAAGGAGTCCCCTTGTTTCAACAGAAGCCCGATGGGATCACCAACGGTTTTCTCGCGTCGACGATGGAGGCGCGCGAGTGGGGCGTCAACGACCTCTCCAAGCCCAACTACCTCAACGGCTTCGAGTGCTACGTGTGCAACGCCGTCAATGAGCACGGGCGCGCCGTGCGGGCCCACCGCGCCGCCCCGCAAGCGCATGCCGCCCCTCGGCCTCGCTCCGCCAAGAACGACCACCTGGGCTGCCCTGAACCGAGACCGGGATATGGCAGCCTTGACGATATCCCCGAAGACGACTTGTGAGTTTTACCTGTGTTTCATTGCGTTTTTTCTTATTCTGTCTCGCGACCATCACAAATGCGCTGGTGTTGTGATTCGTGAATGTCAAGTGGCTTTTTCCACCACGCTGGTGCTTTTTCAGTCCAATATAGTGACTTGACATGGAGGTAATTTAAGTGGAATGTGGCTCATGTCAGATCACTGAGTAAGCACCACTGGAGAATCCTGCATTTTGCAGATCATGCAGAAACCTATAATTGGGTTTTCAAGTCTACGGACGTGATGGCAAGGTGTTGTGATGTTAATAGAATTAACTGTGATGGCTTCTTAATAATTTATTCACTGCTTATTTTAGTCATTAAATTCCAGCTGTGCTTTCTGCGTAATATCATTAATGAGAAAAATATATTCGTAACTCTCACAGCTAGCAGTCCAAATCCCTGTGTGAGAGGGTTCATTATGATTGCTCATGTCAGTCACACCAACATGTTTATTTCTCATAGCTGGAAACGGACACAAATTGTTTACATAGTTGCTGAGAATAAGCCCAAAGGTTCAAGAGGTTAAGGAACCAATGATTCGTAATAGACCGTTTGGGTTACGCCAAGTATCAATGGCTGAAACCAAAATCGATTACGCGTTATGAAGTTGTCATCGGTAATAATTGTTTATTGAATTGAGAAATGAATACAACTGAACTAAATATATTTTTGGGCATAGTTATTGGTGGGCTGGATTCAGATGCAGGTTCTCCAGCCGCAATTGCTCTGTCTTTTAGCCACATAGCGACCTCCATGACCTCCTTGACCTCGACTCACGGCACTGGAAGTTTTTATTCACACTACAATGGAGTGTGGTGTATTTACAATGCGCCGTGGCATATTCCATTAATCAGTCCCTGGATTTTAATTTGAAGGTTATTTCCGTGCCACACCTGGTGCTTCATTTCTTGTTTGAAAATTGCGGAAATTTCCTTTGCATGTCTCATTGGGGCTACGTGGGCAGCAGAGGACAGTTCAGCAAAATCCACAATTGTATTGTACTTCTATGCTCCCACAGCGATGTTCCCCACCTAAACAAAGCCGTACTGACCACCAGGGTGAAGTATGGTCAGCCTCCATGACTAGCACGGCCTTTGTCCTTTAAGTGGATAAACAAAGGGCTGTGGAATCGTGTATCTGGTTGTGTATTAGCATTCGTGTGATTGGAAGCCTATCGTCATTATTGTGTGAACCTTGAACTTGCATTTCCCACCACACAGATGGAGAGAGCAGTGGCTGGCGGACTACTGGCAAAGTCTGGATCAGGCACACGCTCTGGAGGCCATGATCCTCCACAACGAGACAGACTCCTCGCGTCTCTGGGACTACATGCCTGGCCGGCTGGATGGCAGTACTAGCTAACAGCCCCAGGCTACACCAGTTGAACTTAAACAAGTCATGCATGGATCCTGTAACGCTGTCTAACTTGCATACGTTCTGAGAAATAGTATTTATCTAGCAATAATGTTACCTTACTAGCCACGACGAGATCACACGGTGGGTGATGTCGCGAGATGGCGTTGCTCAGTGACATCACGGGCAGCAGAATGCATTTTTTATATTGCTATTTTTTTGGTTGTCATCCCTTTGATAAAATGTGCCCTGTTTTCTGTAGGGCAATTCCCTAATAGTAACACAACTTTACACTAAAGATATTACTGGTAGGAACCTCCTGGTTACACCAACCCACAGGGGATTATTGTGTCCGTCCGTCGTGCAGGGAGGGGCTGGGTGGGGCTGGGTAGGGGAGGGGGTGGGGAGGAGAGGGTGGGGAGGGACTGGGGAGGGGCTAGGGAGGGGAGGGAGGGGCTGGTGGGGAGGGGCTGGGTGGGGAGGGGCTGGTCACCCCGTGGTGCCCTTATAAAACTCAACGTTTAACCTACTCATGCCAGCTTGTGCCCGCCCTCAGTCGGCCATATTTGCAGAATACACCACGCCGCTGTTGACCCTGGCCATTGACCGAGCAACCCAACGTTCCTACTAGCTCCCTCCGCAGGAATGTGTTTATATTGTATCTGTACAAAAGTTATTGTGACCCCCCCCCCCCCCCCATGTTATGGAGAGACATGGTTCCCACTGTCGCACTGCCCAAAGTAGTGGGTGCGCCACCACAACCAGGTAAACGAGTTCGGGCCAAAACAACGGACGAGTTGAATGTTGAGGTTTACAAGGCAGTCACCACGTGTCGATTTTCTTGTGCAGCTTGGGTTGTCTTTGGGACATGCTGCATACTGGATTTATGAATCATCTCGGTTGAAGTTTGCCTGGCTGCACTGCCAAGTTGAGCTGATTGTGCCGTAAAGTCAGGGCGAAGGGGTGTGTTATATGCGTCACTGATTTGTGTAATAAGATTGAGTTATGTCCGATATGGTTTTGATGGTGCGAGAACAAGTACCAGTTAATGGTGTATATTATAAGTGGCTGCTTGGGTGTTAAGGGTTTAAATGTAGACAATATCCCTTTTACTTCAATACATTTTTATAAAATCACAATTGCATATTAGCAACTATATTTTACACTGAATAAAATATGAACGTGTCGTCATAGAAATTGGTAATTTTAGCGAGTAACTTGCTATGCAGACAAATACATTTACATTGACATCCTTTCCAGTTTGCAATGTTTCAATTATATAAATGTCCACATAAAACAGCATTTGCACCACAAACGAATCGTTTAAATTGCAACAGTGTAAACATGAGAATTCAATGTTGGGAATCATTGTGGCCGAAATCGTCGTGAGAATTATTTTATCATGTTTTTTATTTTATTACTTCCCTTCTACGTGACTTTACCGAAAGAACCAAGAAGAAAAAAAGCAATTGGTAACATTTTATTGTGCAGGTTCATGGAATGTGGTCTGTGCAACTCGTCTTGCCTCTGAGAAAAAACGTCATACACACAACTCTGCAGTTTGTACCTAAGCAGAGCAGTTTGACCGAATAACGAGGTACAAAAGAAAATCATAACTCAATGTAATCTCACTGCACCAGAACTTCGTTAAATCGACGACTGCCTGATATCTGCAGCTAATACACATTCTGTATGCACACATTTTTGCTTCAAATAAAATTTTTACATGCGGTTTTAACATGTTTAAAAGTGGTATTGATTTTTTTAAGCACAATGCTCTAATGCCAAAGCAATTATCCCTGAGAAACGTCATTAAGGTTAAACAGAAATTACGTTTGATGTCACAGTAAATAAGCATGTGATATCATCTGGACAACTTTTGCCCTCCGAAAATGTACTTTCATCCATTGTTACACTTAAATGTTCTACAACAAATACACTTAAGACTAATTCCATTGACCTTGCAGTGGGTTTCAAAAAAAATCTCAGTGCAACAAAATGGCAAAAATATTTCTTTATTTTGGGACAATCACCGGCAAAAGAAAACCAGGATATGCCCACTGAATGAGAAATGGCAAGGACACACCACCCCTTTTCAACCGGCACATTTGAGGCATGCCAGCACGGGTGTTCACCGTATGGGTGGTTTTCCACTGGCTATTTGCCGTGCCAAACCATGACGCCGATGCCCCACGTTGATTGCATGTGCTATCAGCAGCCCGGCTCTTGTTTTGCAGTGGCAGATTGGTTGGGCATGGCCCCAGCACAGCAAAGTTACACAGTAGAAAAAAAAATTAGCGGTTGCATTGGTTGGCACAGGGACGAGTAGCCATGTTTAGTCGATTGGATCGTAGCCTTGAGCCTTGTGCCTCCACTTGACACACGCCACGACAGCAGTGATGAGGAGCAACACTCCCGAGATGCCCAACCCCACAGCCATGATGATGATCACCAGCACGGAGAAGGAATCCTTGGCTGGTGTCCCATACCCAACCAGGCCCGTCCTGGAATCACAAAGCATGCGTGTACAATGAAAAAAAACTCCCCTCGACAGACAGCATTGCATACAATACACACACTAACAGCACAAGAGATGCTGCTTGCTGTCATGTGCACAAACTGGGTTTGGCTGCATGGATGTGCATTGATAATTCTAGGTGCATACACAGCTGTTTCACATTATGGCTTTCAAAAACAATTTTCCACTGGAGAACACATCGCAGACTGGGCTCACGAAGCTCTCACCAGCTGAAAAACTGGGTGGCATTGTAGAAGCCATCCTCGCCGATGCCAAAGGACACGTTGAGTGCCGCAGTGAAGCCATCGGGTCCGTAGTAGGCGAACGCGATGCTGGACTCTGGCACGGAGCGAGTGACCGGGGGCATCGGGTAGTGGTGACACGGCGAGGATGCCCCGCGGTTCGGCGGGTCGCTGGTGTACGCCACGGGCTTCCACTGCACAAAGCCCTCCGCCTTAGACGCATTCTGCTGCGACACTATCAACTGCACCATCTGTGGAAAATACACGCGATGAAAGCACGTTACCAGATGCCGTGTGCACCACGGTGTTACTGTCCAACTGAGAAAATACAGCGGACTTGTAAGCGTTCGCTACTTTGCGGCGTTTACCTCGAATATGGAGGGCGTATGCTCGTCATCTATGGTGTGGACCGATTCAAGCCGCGTCGTGCCGTTGCTGCGCTGTGTAACCAGCAGCCCAAGGCCAAAGCGCGACCGATTACTCCTTGGTATCACTTTGTCCACACGAAACTGGAACTGCGTGGAGTTGGCGCTGTATTCCAGTTTGGGTAGACTCTTCTCACGGCCCGTGCTTTTGTACACCATCACCTTTAAATGACACAAACAGACACCTGTTCAGCTGCTGTCAATACAAATATAAACCCGATGACAAGCTTCCAATCAAGAGTTTAGTGTAACTAGGGTTGCCGTGAGATCATGAGATGATATAGAGATCCATGATAAAAAATATATATTACCATTCATTTTTTTTCTTAAATATTTACTAAATAAAACGAAGTCAGTTGTAAAAAACTATTATCCTTTATATTAGTGCTTTGTAAAATATATTTTCTGGAGTAATTTAAATCATTGCAAATGTATGACGTCATCAATGACATATTTATTTTAACTTTAATTATTTCCTGTATAACTGACAGCACGTGCATCATAAATATTATAAGTTGTAAAATGGCATTAATTCTTAAGACTAACAGCAGTCTTATGTTGAGTGAGCTGCAGTTGAAAAACTTAGGTAATAATTTGTATTCATACTGCAAGTATACCAAAGCAAAAAACAAATAAAACGTTCATACAATTATGGGAAGGGGATATCGTGATAATCGTCATAATTGTCATAGCATAAAATGACGATTACATCGTGCAGACAGTATCACAGTGAGCCCAGCTTAATGCGACCCATGCTGCTGCCTTACAGAAATGGAGATGGAGCCATTGTTGAAGTCCCCCTTGGGGTCCGTGGCATTGCGGCCCCTAAACTCCACTCCCAGGGTGGTTGGGTTGAATGTGCTATTGACGTCTTCCCACACAAAGTCCTCCAGGCGGTAGGCAGGGGAGAGCTGCTGAGACTTCTCCATGTCTGCCGTGTCATTGACATCGTAGAACTCCATCAGCTGCACAAACAGAGAAGGCCAGTCCACTATGATATTGAGCTGTAATTAAGTAAAACCTTTCAGGTTTAGCACCGCAAGAATACGTGGTATTATATTTTGTTTCAACAGTTCCATGGTGAAATGAAAATATCAAATACAAATGAGATACATGATACTAACCAGCTAGCAAGTAAAAAGTAAACCCGTAAAAACAAAGTTTTTCACTCTAAATCCTTTATATGCGTGGCGGCTAGAGTTCTCTCGTCCTCTGGCTTGAGATGGTTGCAATCTATGGGTCAGATGATTGTCTGCCAGTATTAAGCAATTGGTAATTAAATATTTAATTAGTTTTCCCTAAACAGTGTAAAATTTTGGAAAAAAAATTTTCACGAAAATTCATTGTCACACACAACGAGTCTGTGTGGAAAATGTCAGGTCGATTGGATCACGGGAAGTGGGTTAAAAACGAGCGAAAGATTTGCATGGTCCTAAGCAAGCAAGCGAACTTAATATAAAGGATTTAAAAATATATTCGCCTGTGGAGGACGCGGGGATCGATCCCGCGACCTTTGGCATGGGAAGCGAGGGCGCTACCAACTGCGCTACTCCACCACGGCCTGTGGAGGGGTTACGCTCTGGGCTCTTGCACTGTGATGTTCAGCCAAAGCCTTGAATGCGTTCTATTTGAATATATGTAAAATAAATTTTTTTGCCTAAAAAGTGTAAAATTTTGGGAATTTTTTTTCACAAACAATAATTGTCTGGCACAACGAGTCTGTGTGGAAAATGTCAGCTCGATTGGATCACGGGAAGTGGGTTAAAAAACGACCAAAAGATTTGCACGGTCCTAAGCAAGCAAGCAAGCACGCGAACTTAATATAAAGGATTTAAAAAAACAAAGCACACAAACATGCACAAGTCTAATAGAGGATCACGAGCAAATGAGTGCCCGATGTAAACTTTCATGTTCTAGGTGGGCTATAAATCTTAAGTCTGGCAAAGACATTGGCAAGCCTTATGCTTATACAATCACACATTTTACAACTTGGACTCCCAAAAACTACACCCTAGAGTTCAAAGTACTTTACTCATGAGGCAGGGCCAGCCTAAAATTAAAATTTGCTTTAAGCACCACACAACATACAAAAAATATCCGAATTGTTTGCGAACCAAGTCATTTGCCTTTCAGAGTGTCACGTGAAAACCGGATAGAAAGGGGACAGCCTGCTAACATTTTATATGATGAGAATACACTGGTGCCACCGCTTTAACCTCGAGTGTTCCAACAAGGCACTAACAACTTAAATATATATAGCTTCTAGATGCAATCATATCTCAAGACACTTTTCAGGGTATGTGTGGGGCTGTTCCAAGGGACAAGGAGCCCTGCCACTGGGTCGTTACCTCTGAGAAAACCACAGCCTGCGAGAAAGTGACCTTGTCCTCGGGAATGATACGCAAGGAACGCGAGCCGTTCTTGAGGATGAGCTGCTCCCAGTCCACCTTCAGCTGGCTCTGGTTTCCCGTGCAGTGCACCAGCAGCACAGTGGGCGCGCCAATGGTGCTCCACACATAGTGAAGGGTATCGTGTGGCCCCACTGCCTGGTAGTGCACCAGGTTGACGACAAGGCCCGGTGGCACCATAGAGCTGTTCAGCCCTGGATTCACCTGCACAGTGACCTGTGGTGTTCACAAAGGAGAGTACAAGTTAAGTTGAAACCATCAAACATGGAATACGCATGAGCCAACTGAACCTTAGCGTGTAGGAACGCAGCATTTCTTTGATGATTAACAGATTAATGGTCAACAGAGTACACACTTCGGCATAGTACAGGCATCGCCAAACAAGGATCCCAGGCAGATGCAGTGCGGCTTGAAAAAAAGTAGCAAACGTGAATATAATTGAAACAGGGAAAAAATATCTGCAGGAGTGGGAGGAGTATCCCTGGCAGTGGAGCCGAACATGAGTACAGTACTTGAACTCCTAACAACTTCTAAATAACCAGTTGCGTGACCACCCCACATCACACGACCACCCCACGTGACACTCAGAGCACGTGTAACGTCGTGTGGCTCTGGGCCACATGCAGATTGTAGTTTGTGACTTATTCATATTCTTAGGTTTTTTTTTCGGTAAAGTCACGTAGGTAAAAAATCTAAATTTTACCCCAAAAAACCTAAGAATATGAATACTTGCATGTCACGAAAGCTTCAAATCTAGTTTGTGACTTATCGGCTCAGGATGTTTGGCGACTGCTGACATCATACCATGAATGCTCGATACATAGGACAGTTAGTTGCCAGATCAGAATCTTAATTTATACTGGAGGAATCCGATGAGCTATGAAGCTTTTTTTTTACAGATGTCTAGTTGGGGCGGGTCAGAAACTTCCAACAAACAATATAAAAACTCGATAGGAAAGCAAAGTATAGCCAAGGTAAGCGAATCACAGCATTGACGATGCCCATAGGAGCCTCACAAATAAAACTTGAATTGGCAAGTTTAACACGTAGGCTTTCGCGACCAATATCCACAATAGAGATTGTTTTGGGTTCGATCGCGTAAATATAGAAATGTGTCGTTAAATCCGCCACCACCCGACCCGTTTACGTGACAACCCTTACTAGTTGGCTGTATCGGGTGGTGGCTGGTTTAACGACACGTGTTATATTTACGCGATCTAACCGAAAAAAACCCCTGTATTATGAATTAATAGGTAAACGAACGAGGTGATCAAGTTGTGTCAGGGACGTCATCTTGGCCTTTCAACGCAATGAGAATCAGGGTTGCAACCTCCCCGTGATCAAACTTTGTTCTCAAATGTTGCAGACAGTTGATGGTCTCAGCCCGGTCACCATGAGCTTAACGCAACAAAACAGCACATTACGCTTGGGTTGTTACTTAATCGGCCAATTCCATCGGCTTGATTCCCAAGCGAGGGACATTTCTTACATGGCGAACACAAATATGGACCCCAGCGTACAAGCCAGACACTCAACAGTACCGCAAAAGGTACACCGCCTCACTACAAACACAATTTAAAATTTCGTCTCATGAACACACAACGCTGATATAGCAACTTGGGTATAAAATTAAATCAAACAATTACTAAAAAACGTATGAAAACACCTTACATAACAAGGTAGGCCAAATCTCAGACCGACCATTTTCCTGGAATCCCAGCCGCCCGCGGCGCACTTCCCCCGGTAGGGAAGGGACGACGGACCCGGTTGCGAGCCGGCCGACGTAAATTTTAGGCGCCTTTAAAGCCCATTTCCCAAACTCACGCGTCTCTCGAATGGCTTCTCCGCCCGCACGCTGGGAAGCCGTAAAAGGAGGAGGGCGAAGCAGAAGGCGAAGCAGAAGACGCAGCGAAACAACGACTCCATGGCGAGACCGAGTTTCGACTGCGGCGATCAACAGCTTCCGCAAACCGGGAGCACGTGACCCGCCAGCTGATCTCCCCCCACCACCCACCCCCTTATCACGTGACGCACGAGCGTCTTTGTTTCTCCCAGCAGCCACGTGGTCGGGGCGTGCCTGGGGCGAATGAATGCTGCATCGTGCTAATCAGCGGTGCGGGTGCAGAACAATTAACTGTGTGTCTCTGTGTGAGTCTATTAGGCCTCGGCAAGGTAAGGTAAAAGTTAAAAGGTAACAACAACGAGAATAACTTTACCCTACCTTTTACCTTACCACAATACAATCACTCTACCCTACCTTTTACCCTTTAGCAGGTAAGGTACACGGTAAAAAGCAACGAGCCTACCTTTTACCCTTACCCCATACAAACTACCCGATTACAGGGTAATTACTGGGGTACTACGACATGAACAAGGTTTATAACGGTAAATGCTAGATAGAGCACTTTATTCATATAAAATACTCTCCATGATTCCAATTTTACACGCTTTCTTTGAACTCACTCTGTCTGTTGTCGTCATTGTTGTCGTTGTTGTAATCGTCGTATCCTCAAATCTAGTAACTCAATTTTAACCCACTTCCCAATGTGGTATCGACTGCAAACTTGGTATACTTATGTCATACTGATGACAACACTATATTCTATCAAAAAACATTTTTAAATATACATTTTTATGTTATGTTTCGGATTGGATCTAATTGTCCACGCTCAACTGACGTTGGCTGTAATTGGCCACGGTCCCTTACGTTGTGGTAAGCTTCGGGGCCACTTCCTGGAGTCGTGGAGTTCTGCCATTACTATTACTAGTACATTAATAAAAGCGTGTTTTTAAAAAAGTTTTAAGAAATATTACTTAACAAATGGAGGCCACGGACTGCGCCACGGAGCTTTTAGCGGTAAACAAGGTACTGTATTTACCGGGTAATATTTCGCGCTACATTTACCCTACTGGGTAATTCTTCCGAGCTACCTTTACCCTACCCTTTACCTTACCCCTTGGCATGTCGATACCTTTACCATTTTGCCCGGTAAAGAGGGTAATTTACCTTACCTTGCCGAGGCCTAGAGTCTATGGGTCTCTGTGTTAGTCTATGGGTTTCTGTGTGAGGCTATGGGTCTCTGTGTGAGTCTATGGGTCTCTTTGGGAGTCTATGGGTCTCCGTGGGAGTCTATGGGTCTCTGTGTGAGTCTATGGGTCTCTGTGTGAGTCTATGGGTCTCTGTGGGAGTCTTTGGGTCTCTGTGGGAGTCTATGGCTCTCTGTGTGAGTCTATTTATGTTGAACTTCTTTGGCACCATACGTACCCAACCGTGCTAATCGGAGGTGCGGGGGGAAGGACAACAAACACCGAGGGATGCATTTCAACCGGAGCTGTCTGGGGCTGAGCTCTGGAAAATAGTTCCCCCCATCCGGGGAGTTGGGGACCCCCTGGACAATATTCAATAATAGTATCGTCATGTCCATTGTTATGTTTTACCCTGGACCTTTTTATAGAACGCACTAACCACTGCTGGATTGAGGCCTCCACACACCCTGCAAATTATTCGACCTTGCTTCATGAACCACGCCGGGCAGTACAGGTGCGTGGAGGCGGGGTGCATAGTGTAATACAGAAACAGATTTTGCTGCGCTGTGCTCTCTCTTTGCACCACATAGCACCATGACAGTCTAAATGAATGTTATCACGGAGAGACAAAGCCGGCCGGGCGTGGTACTGACCCCCCCACCCCCTCTCGGCTTGTGAACCATGCCCGTATCTTACTAGGTGCGTGCTAACAGTACCTTAAATGGGATCGGAGGGTGATCCGTTTATAGATACCCCACAGACAATGACCCCTTTTCATTCATGTATGTGGAACTTATTTCGCACCGTCCGTACGTGTAGCCAACCGTGCAAATTGAACATTGCAAAAGCGATGGGCTCCATCTCTGTAATTTCTCCCCGTTATTGTCGTGTGATATCTATAACTGAATCACCCTGTGCTGACTGGGCCCCCCATTATGTCAACTTGCCAACCCTCACCAACTTCTAAATCATTTTCTTGGTTCTTTCGGTAAAGTCACGTAGAATTGAAATAATAAAATAATAAAAATAAAACATAATAAATAATTCTCACGACGTTTCGGCCACAACGCAAGCAGCCGTCCTCGGGTGGAGAGCAGGTCTGTCGAGTAGACAGAGTCTGTGAACCATGCCCGTATCTTACTGTCTACTCGACAGACCTGCTCTCCACCTGAGGACGGCTGCTTGCGTTGTGACCGAAACGTCGTGAGAATTATTTTATTATGTTTTATTTTTATTATTTTATTATTTCCATTCTACGTGACTTTACCGAAAGAACCAATAAGATGAATCCCTGCAGTCACGAAAGCTTTAAATCGAAATTCAAAATAATTCCCAGCCACTGCAGTTTTTCTTAAAAAAAAAACATCAACAAGGATTTGACCAAAACGTCCCAAGCAGGCAGGAGGATACTTCTGGAAGAGAAAGACGTGAAGAGTCTGGCACTTAATGAAAACCGTGTGCCGCCGGTCAATTGTGACAGCGTGTACTTGTACACAAGTTGCCTCGTCAAAGCGGCTGCTTCGCTTGCTGTCGAGTGACAAACACGGACATGGCCCCATGCAGAGAGAACTTCACAGCTTTGACGGTCCTGGTATAAGTGTCACGCGTGGTTGATAATCGCGGCTGAAATAACCACAGTCGAATCTTTCGCTTGCAGCTACTCTGCCGTGGGCTTGAGAAATATTCCATGAGAAATTAAACCCGGCACCTAGCTTAATTCTTAAGAGATTGGCGGTGGGTAAATGAAAATTGTGCGCCAAAAGCAATCACTCAGCGTGGATGTAAGTTCGTGAGGTGGCGCTATTGCCCCGTTTATGGTATTTTTTTTTGGACCCCAGACAAGCGGCTGGTGGTTTGTTGACAGCGGCTGAGCAACTTGATGAGTTCAATCGCCCATGGGTGGAAAAAACCCGATTTTTCCAGCGGCAGGCATCGGGGTTTTTCTTTAATACAATTAAACCCGATTTCGGGGAATTAAACCCTGGTTTAATGAATACGAAACTCTGATTCAAGGCTTAGGCTGCTTCCTCGTCGGTGCTGCTATCGTACTCGGGGGGGCCGTCGGGCACGGGGTAGTCGTAGAATGCGGCGGGCAGGTTGGTCTTGATGAACACGAGCTTCTCCTCCACAATCGTGGGCGCCAGTGAGTTCCTTAGCTTGGAATGGATGAAGCCCATCGTTGAGAAGTGCGGTTCTGCAATTAGAACCAATTAAACCGGATTTCTCACAATCTCAGATGATCGGGTTTAATATAAAAAGACAATTAAACCCTATTGTAAAAAACCCGACTGTGCCACCTTTGCAATCACCCGTACAACCGTCCGAATACTGCACAGTTAGTTAACACGTGCACTGAACAAAGCAAGGGGATATTTGGAATGTTTCTCAATGTAACAGCGTCTATGATTCATTACATTCGCTTGCACTTTCAATCGTCCTATAAAAATAAATATTTTTCAATGAACTCATCACCGTCGTCCTGGTGTCATCCGTTCTCTATCCACTGCTGGATACAGGTTTCCCACCCACGCAATTTCTTCGGGTCTTGTGATGTCACACACTATTTCGCTCCTGCGCGCGAAAAGTTGCTTTTAAATAAAACCTACTCTAATCTAGACGAATGTCAAATCGAATCCGATTAATTCAGTGAGCTAAGTGTGCCTGCTACATTTCTCCGTTACTTTGTCCTACTTGTATTAACATCTAAGCCTAACTTGATCCGTCAACTGGGTCGATGGAATTGATTGATACTACTGTATTAGGGTTGGGGGTAGTGCTAACTATATGCTACTGAAAGCCTGCATCCACTATAGGCACACTTTTGAGTCATCATCATCATTCATGATCACTAAACTATTTAAAATAATTGTTTTATTTTACCAGGTAAGGCCCACTGATCTGTATAGCTCTTTTTCAGAAGCGACCTGGCCACAAATGATGGCCCATTGAAGTTGGTTATCGTGTGGAAAGTTATCGCAGCCAAAAACTCGAAATGCATGTTTCTAAATGTGGAGGGAAAACCCGGAGGACCCGGAGAAAAATCCATGCGACCACGAGAACATGCAAATTCAAAACATACAGCACGCGTCATGGTCGAGATCGAGCCCACGACCTCCTGTATACCAGGCGAGGTAGTTAACATCTCGCCACCACTGCTAGATGAAGACTTCCCCAAGCCGTCGCCATCTCTCCCGATTCTACATTGTAATCACCTAGCACCTGCACACGAGCTGATTTAACTTTTGAATGACACGTTGAATAATATTGTTGACACTACTAATACCACTGTAATAATAATGTCCAGTCCCTTGTCAATCTACTGCTAGATATAGGCTTCGCCACGCCGTGTCGGTTATGGGGGTTGTTTGACCATACTTCACCACGCTGCTGGTCGGTGAAGGGATTAGCAAGGCAAGGCAAGGCAGATTCCAATATCACTCGCCACTGATGTTACCCGTGGCCGATAATCGAACTGAGGTCGCCTCATCGAATTATAATTGAGCTAGAAGAGGTTTTAAGTTTGGTTCCAGTCTCGTATGATGGATGTGCGGGAAGAGATACATCATCGGTATGACATCATCACGCGCGTTATATGTTTACAGTCGGCAATTAATTAAATTGTGCACTGAGCCTACGCGCTAATGCTCATTTAATAACCCTAATGACCTTCAGGACGAGATAGGAGCCCAATAAGATGTGTCCATGTCTTTAAACTACACCTTTAAAAATTCTAAATAAAATACAAATTAGTGAGTTCAACAGCACTGGACCCTGAGAGGTAGCGACTGGGTGGGAAGGCCATCATCCAGCAGTGGTCATGATAATGATGATTAAGTCAGTCTGTTCTCCTATTGATGACAATCGATGTAGGAAAATCCAATTGGCAGACAGTACAGCAAATATTTTCTAAGCTTGTGTCTCTGTGCATATAAGTCCGTGTGTACGTTTTTTGTT